TACCCTATTACAAAAAGGAATTGCACGAAAAACCACTAAAATTTTCCAAAGTCACCTTTTGCCAATTTGAAGCATGGCAACCTCCTCAGCCATGACAGATGTCTCTGATGTACCAGAAGACCCGAATCCTCCACCCACCCTTGCTGTAAACGTGGAGCCTGATTCCCAGCAACCGCCTTTAGATGTCCAACCCTATGGAGAAACCGCAATACCTCCAAAAGCCTACAACCTCAGAAAGAGTAAGAAGCTTACCGAACCCATGGAAGAACTCTTGAAGAATGATTGGCAGTAGCAATATTGCCGCTACAGACTCATGGGTGAAGGTTGAGAAGATCTGTGATGCCCCAAAATATAAGCTGCCCCCCGAGAAACTCCGCACATTGCTAGATGATCTAGATGCCCTTTTCGCATGGTGGAGACACAGCGAAAACAACCTCAAATCCATCCAGTCAAGACTGGGTGACCCCAAACTCCTAATACACATCCAATACTTCGAGGAGCTTCACAAGAAATGCAAAGACAGTGTTGAGGAAAGCAAGACAGCCCTCCAGACAACACTCCACAACATGCTTCAGCAGGGAATAGCATCAAGGGAGCAGGCCACATCCGACATAGCTCCTTGATCACATGTGTCTTCTTCCCTCCTTCTAAACCGGCTAGATCGCAGGCAAGTTCTAGTGTCTCGTGCCAATTCTCTGCTACCAGCTCTCACCTTCCCTCCAGAACATCCTCCCATCATAGTGGTGCATCCAAGGCCTCCAAAGCAGCAAGTTATGCCGAACGAGCTGCAGAAGCTGAAGTAGAAGCTGCAGTAGCAGACGCAGAGCTATGCGCCACAGAGGAGGTGACATGGCAGAAGGCAGTAATAGTGGCTCAAAAGGCAGAAATGGCCAAAGCTCAGGCTACAGCGCAGGCCAAATTGGAGTTGGCTGAACAGCAAAGAGACGCCGCAACAAAGACGGCACGTGCCACAGCATGGCGGAAGATGGCCAACAATGCCTCCCTCAACTTCGACCTCAAAGACTTGGGAGAAGAGAGCCCGGATACATGGGTCAAGGCCTATGTGGATGAGCAGCACTCGCTACAAAATGAGCAGATGGAACCACCTCAGTTGCCTAACAGTCTTCCACAATCAGAGAGGCACAAGGATGAATCTCAACCACAGACTCTACATGTCACTTATGCAACTGACGTTGTACGACCTAAAGTATGAGATTCACTTCCCTCCAACAGCAAACCTTCCCCAATTGATGTTGTACGTAATAAGGTCCGAGATTCTCTTCCCAACACTAGCATCCCTACTCCAATGTCTCATGGCCTGCCAGGTGAGCAAATTAGCCCAACACTGACTTCTCAACGAGTCGACATGCCATCAATGACAACTGCCACACTCAATGCACAGGCAGCAGCATTCCTGCCACAACCTCAATACCAATTTGGCTCCCAGGCACCATAAGGTAACCGTGCCCAGCCTACACAGCAGCGTGACACTCGACCATCGTCCCCAGTATGGGAGAACAACATCCTCCATAAGTACTGGGAAGAAGACTACAACCTGTTGTTAACTTACAACCCGAATCCACCCTACGAGAATCCCAGGGGGAGAACTCTCTACGTCAATACCTCCCCCCAACTCAGCAACTGCTGAAGATTACTGGAGAAACTTGGCTGTACAGAGTGGAAAGCTAAATTTGCACGCCAACGGAGTTCGCAGATTCTCTGACAAGCCAGGTGGCGAATATCTAGTATGGAAGAAACTTTTCCTGTGCCCCATTCAGGCAGCACGCCTGAACCCTGATGAGATAATCGGACACTGTGGCTAGGGCCACAGTCTGCCGACATACCAAGGGCACTTTTGACATCCCACTTAGACGACCCAGCCGCTGCCCTACAGTTATCATGGAAAAGTCTTGACGAACTGTATGGCACTTCCGAGGACGTAGAAGGAATGCTCCTGGATAGCCTCAACAGTTTTCCTAAAATTCCTATTGACAAGTCTCGCCAAATCATAGACCTCGCTAACATACTTGTCCAGCTGAGACTGGCACAACGGGATCCCAACTTACCAACACTTGTCTGTCTCGATCACATCGACACACAGAATAAAATTGTTCAGAAACTTCCGCAGGTGCTAATTGAAAAGTGGCTCCAGTTGACTGACACCTTCATGGCCAAGGGCCACCACCGCTTTGTATCCTTCACAATTCTTGAAGAATTCATCTCCCACTAAGCAATAGTGTGCAACACATACCGAGCCCGTGGACTCAGAGCTGTTAATCCTCCTAATACCAGAAGATACAACAGCAACCATATGTTGCCCTCAGGCCCTATACATATTACCAGGGAAAGACCCTTCATGGCTGACCCTATACATACTACCAGAGAAAGACCCTTCATGGTTGTCTATGACACTGAGATCAACTCCTCATCCAGCTGCATTGGGTTTGCAGTGAAATCACTGACCCAACGAAAAGAATTGCTAAGAGAATATCAATACTGTTACAAGTGTTGCGAATCCAAACATTCGCCCAAATACCAAAGTGCAATGTCACATCTGCAAAAGTGACCAACACCCGACTGCGCTGCATCCAGACGCCGAGCCACCATGGCAGATACCTCATAACCCTCCTTCGGACAAGGAGCCACAACATAACACAGAAGCATCCAGGGCTCCTCGGCAGACCGACAAACTGCAACCAAAACCGAGCATGAGCGTCAACTGCACAGCACTGTGCACTGACTCACCACCCCCTCATTCATGTCTTCCCATCTGCTTAGCCAAAGTGTACCCTGAAGGACGCCCTGAAGATGCCATGAAAATGTATGTGCGGATAGACACTCAAAGCACCTGTACCCTGGCCAGACCTGAATTCTTTTACCTCTTTGAGATGCAACAGGCCAAATTTCCCTTCACTGTATCAACGTGCCATGGACCAAGAAGCACGGCAGGGAGGAGAGCTACTGAACTTTGCATAGAGTCATTAGATGGGAGTACCCGATTCCCACTACCGCCCGTATTTGAATGCGATGGGATACTGACCGCAGTCAGATCGCAACACCTGAGGTCATACGTAGCATGCCTCACCTACAGCACCTTGCTCATCACTTTCCCGCTCTAGATCCAGAGGCTGATATCCTACTCTTGCTGGGAAATAATGCCCCACACTCCTTTCTCTTCTCTGAGTCAGTCAGCGGTCCTGTAGATGGCCCAGTAGCCATAAAATCTCCACTAGGATGGGGGATTGTAGGAATTGTTAGTGACGCCCAGATGCAGGCTCCAACCCTGGCAAATGCCTTAGCACCATCCATTCCACCCGCCTCCCGACGCCCTTTAGCACCACCGAAAACAAGAATGAAGTTCCAGCCTCAAAGGCCACCACCAATCAGTACGCTTTCGCTAGGACACCCTAAATGACCGCCAAGAACCACCAGACTTCCACTAAGACACTCTACACAGGCATATGCCTCCGCAATGCCCTTTCCAACAGCTTCCCGATGCCCTTTGACACTGTGGAAGCAAGAGTACCGTTCCAACCCTAAAAGGCCACCAAAGGTGACCAGCAGACTTCCACCAAGAGTCCCCTTAAGGGAATGCCTCATGGGAAATGTAGTTAAAGGTATTCTGGGAAATGTAGTTCATGTCACGTGGCCACATCTGTAATCCTGGTTGTTCACTAAATTGACCCTTGACGGGTTGGGGCCGGTTTTCCTCCATTCTTGCCTGGACTCATGGACTGATAGCAGCTTTCTTTATATCGCTACGAGATGGGTTAGGAAATAACCATCTTTTACCTGCAAGGCTGATATACAAAGGATTGGTCATTATAGAAGAATTTCATCACAAATGTGAGTTATGAAGATACCTGATGTACCAATAAATATACTTTGTTATGGATGTTTTGCGGAATTTATCTATCTGCATCTGCACAGCTACAAATCCACCTCTGTGCATGAGACAGGACAGGTCCTTCTCTTCCCTAGACTAGCCAGTAACCGTTCCTGTAACCGTTCTTCATATGTTTTAACCTCCAGTCCCCTAATCATCCTGGTTGCTCTTCTCTGTACTTTTTCTCGAGTCTCAACATCTTTTTATAGTGTGGTGACCAAAACTGGATGCAGTACTCTAGGTGTGGTCTTACTAAGGCTTTATAGAGTGGTATTAGTACCTCACTTGATCTCGATTGTATCCCTCTGTTAATGCAACTTAGGATTGAGTTGTAACTTAGTTGTTATTGCTAGGGAACCAGGACATGCAACAAAAGTGCAAAACTTGGACAACTGAAGAAAATTGAGAAATCATCAAATATTACTATTTATTTGTTTGTTTGTTTGTCAAAACATGTACAAGATAACGAGTGTAGATATGAACATAAACAGGAACCAAGGAAGTAAATACGGATAAATGGGGACAGTAAGACAGAGTGCACTTATTCATGCCCCCTTTAAGGACCTCTTAGGAATGGGGTGAGGTCCACGTAGACAGTTTGAGGTTGAAGCTGTGAGGGGTTGAGGCTGTAACCACAGAGTCGGGCGTTGACCACTCTGTTGCTGGTTGTATTTTCTGCAATCGAGTTTGAAGCGGGTCGTGAGAGTACAAATATCTTGTGCAATAACCATTACAATTAGTACATATTAGTTTATTAGTGGTTTACCTCAAATCGATTGTTTGCCCGTGTATTATTGTGTTTGAAGTTGAAGAAGTTGTTGACAGGCAAGATGTAGCAGACAATTTTGTGTACTATGCTTAGATTGTACCGCAGGCAGCATAGTTCCAGATTGTCCAAGGCCAAAATTTCAAGCCTGGAAGCATAAGATATGCACTAACTGGGGCACATCATCTCATTGCTCCATCATAAAGGGTATTGTAGCACTGGAACGGTGATAAAGGTCACCCAAAAAATCAAGAGATTGGAGGGTTTTCTCCTCAGGGCTTGAAGGTAGAGCAAAGTTGAGGTTATTTGGAAAGCTCCATATTTACTGTGATCCTGTCATATCTGCAGAACCAATAGCGACTGTCACGAGTAAGGCAGAGGTCATCCAAACCGAAACACACATCTGCCGAGTGGATGGCTTCTTCCCCAAAGATATCAAAGCAACCTGGAGGAAGGATGGAAACATCTGGCTGCAGGATACTTTGCATGGGTTGGTTGCCCCCAACTCAGATAGGACCTATCACTTCTGGCTCAGCATTAGGATCAATCCCAGTGAACGGAATCGCTTCCAGTGCCATGTAGAGCATGACAGCCTGAACAGTCCCCTGATAGTTGTTTTGAAAGTGCCAGGTGAGTATTTGGGAAGGGTAGAAGGATGGAAAAGCAGAGGATTTCTCACTAAAGTGGAAGAAGGAACAGAAGGCCAGAGACCTTTAGTTGTGTTGTAGATAGTCCCAGGAAAAATCTGACTCTCAGTGGATAGTTACTAAGTTTGAGTTTGTTTTGCACAGCACTGTTTCCATCTTGGAATATGACTCCTACCTTCTGCCGCGTTTCCCCGAAAATAAGACCCTGTCTTTTTTTTTTACTAAAAAAGCCGCTAGGTCTTATTTTCAGAGATATCTTATTTGCAGTTACCTGCCTACTCCGTCCCACCATCTGCTTGCCCATGGCCACAACAGCTTACAGGGCTTCCCAGGGCAGACAAACTTTTTGCCCGGACAGAGAAATGATGGAGACTGGAAGCTTCGTCTGTTTGCAAATGGGGTCTCCATCTGGGCAAAAAGTGTTTGGGCACCTATGCGGCCCTTGGGAATGGAGCAATTTGCTCGGTTCCCAAGCACCCATAGGCTCCCAAGCACTTTTCATGAGGATGGATAAATGATGAAGACTGGACGCTTCACCTGCTTGCAAATGGGGTGCTTTGAAACAGAGCAATTAAGCAGACGAAGCTTCCAGAGTATCTGTTTGGGAGAAATGTGTGTGGCAGAGCCAGGTGGAGGGAGAGGCATTGGGGGGGGGGTGTGTCTTTCCTATTTATCTTCATATTTATTATTACATTTCTGTGCCAACTATCTCATCGATAAAGCATTTTTTTTTCTTTAGCACCCCACCCATTGTCCATTATAATGACTGTTCTGGCAGCCACCTTCTTTGCCACAGCTGTTGTTTGGAGTTCATTCTTGGGTATGTAAATGGGGAATGCATGTTGTGGTTGGAGGGAATTCCTTGCTGGGGGATTCACAGAAGTCCACAATGCACATTTTCCTATGAAGGATGTTGCACTGATATATTAAGTAGAAACAAACAATTATTCTCACCCCAAGCACCCACACCCTTATGATGGGCACCAGAGTTGTCTCACTGTGGTCACTGAGGGAGGATCAGAGGGTTCTACTGATGAAATGGGACTTTTTCTTGATTTTTGGAAAGTTGTCAGAATGACCAATGTCCCCTTCCCTTCCTAGGGCAATTAGAAAATATCTAGTAAACTCTTGTGCAGGAGCTCTTCCTAGCCAGACTGGATGACACTTGCAATTGAGCATAATTTCATTTTCATTTCTGTTTTCTCCATGCAGTGGTAGACATATTCTGTTACTGGTATATGCAAAAATTGCAAGAATATTCAGGTAGGTGGGTATGTATTTGATCTGGTTTAAACAGGAGGAATGGGGATATGATCTGAATAGGAAAGGTGTTAACATTTGTCCTTTGCTACCTAGATATAGATGGTAGGCACCTCGGTTTTTCTTGGGCAAGGACCCCATTCAAATTGTTGTCCAATGCAGGATGGTTATTGAGTATTTCCAAAGGGCACTTGAGGATTGTCTGCAAACTTGGCGAAGTTTATCAGAGGGTAGGTAAGAAGGGGAACTGATTCAGACACACGTGGAGCTGAGAGATCAATTTTCACATCATTTATTCATCCTTATATCAGATTACAATAAAGAACTGATATGGTTTGTTGTGTAAGCAGTGTTTAGTCTATTACAATCTTACCAACTACAATAGACTTTTATTAAAGCAATCCTCCTTCTTCCACAGTCAGACTGGTCTACTCCATGCTATTTTCTATTTTGGCACCTCTTTCCAGTTTTCCTTCAGCATTCCCAGAACCCTTTCTGATGATTTTTAGGCATCTACGAGTGTCAAACTCAAGGCTCAGGGGCCAGATTTGGCCCACGGGGTGCGTAGATCTGGCCTGCAGGGCAGCTGTGGAAACAGCAAAGGACCAGCCCAGGGTGCTTCTGCCAGCTCCATTTTCACTGGCAGAGGGCTTCAGGAGGCTGCCCAGGCCAAAAATGGGCCCCAGGGGCCCACTCACAGCCCCCCAGCTCCATTTTTGCTGGCAGAGGGCTACCACAACAAACTAAAAGCAAAACAAAACAAAAAGAGAAATGTTTCCCCTTTTGCATTTGAGCATGCAAGAGGGGACTGTAAAGGAGAAAGGGAAAGAGGTAAGACAACAAAAAAGAAGGAAAGATGAGAAGAGAGCAAGGAAGAAAAAAGAAGGAAAGTGGGGAAGGAAGAAAAAAGGAGAATGAAGAGGGAAGGAAAAAAAGAGGAGGGAGGGAAGGAAGGAAGGTAGCAAGGAAGGTAAGTCATGCCTTAGCCACAGTCTAACCGGTGGGCCGCAGTCCACAAGTGGGCCGTGAGAAAATTTTGGTGGGCCGCAGAGAAATCTTACCCCAAGAGCACCCCCCCCAAGGCAATCAATCCAGGCTTGGCAGAAAAACAACTGCCTGCACTGCCCACATGGCCTGTGGGAACCCTCCGCAGCCACTCACTCCTTACCTGGCAAACCTGCCTGCTAAATTGCTATTTTTACTTTTTTCTCCCCCAACCATCAGCTGTTCTGCCATGCCAGGAGATTTAGATTAGCTAGGAAGCAGGAAATAGTTGGATTTATTGCTTTCTAGCTAGCCTTTAGATCTTCGACTCTGCTTTTAAGCACAGCTGAACCTCCCTTAGGACTGAAGGTTGTATTAGTCAGTGCATACTCAAGGCAAGCAAATTTGAGAGACTGAGGAATTCTTTCTGATGCCTTTTAGGCAAAGCAGTTTGGGTCAAATTCTCTCCATGTATTGATGTTTCTTTGATTGTGTGTGTGAGAGAAAGGGAGGGAGGGAGGGAACTGGAGTCAGAAAGAGCTGAGCTTCTCCCCCTATAAGCCAAGAGAGCAACTTTCTCACCCTCTTTTCTTTCCTTCTTTTCCAGCAAGTGATAAAGGATCCAACAGTTCAGACCAGGGTAAGTCAGAGGAGCTGCTGCTGCTGCATGAGCCATTCTGTCCCTTTGGAAGATTCTGGGTGGACGAGGGGATGAAAAGAGGGGAAAGCCCCCACTTTTTAAAGGCCCTCCAGATTCATCCTCCTTGGGTTCCCTCTGTGCCTGATTCTGGTGGAATAATAAGAATAATTGCACCCAGTTTGGCTTAGAGGTGAGGGCACCAGGGGAGTTCTAGTCCCGCCTTGGGCATGAAAGCCAGCCAGGGGTCACAAAATTCACTTTCCTTGCACTGATTTGTTCTGCAGAGGAGGAGGGAAAACTCTCCCTGTTGGGAAAGGGGAGGCAGGGGAGGCAGCCTAGCTCCCTTTGGAGGGAAGAGCCCCCAATTCTTTGAGGGGGAAATAGGGAAACCACCCATAATATCATGATCCCCAGTGGTTAGAGACTCTTCTGCTGGCATAGTTGGGACCTGGCTGACTCTGGAAGGGGAAGAGGTTCCCTCTCTCTGAGGTGTGCCCAGATGGGTTTAGGGTGTGGCCCCAACCGAGAGCCCAGGGCAGGGGAAGTGGGGTTCCAGGGGTTCCCCGAGAATCTCTTCTGGCACTCAGGATGCTCCCACCCTCCCGATTCTGGTTGGGACTACCTGTTTCTGGTTGCAAGCAAATTTTATGTGACAGACTGAGCTAGCCAATGGCAGATAGATAGATTTCTGAATGAATCTGTGATTCTGTGAGTCAATCTGCCTGCCTGCTTTGCCTGATTTTGGGTAAAAGTTGCTCTTTTTTATAAAAAAATCAATATTTATATAAATATTTATATTTACATACAAGCCATGCCCAGCTAGTCACATGACCACCAAGCCACACCCACAAATTAGGCCACGCCCACAGAACTGGTTAGTGGTCCCTGGGATTTAAAATTATGAGTTTGGTGGTCCCTGGGGTCCAAAAGGTTGGCGACCCTTGCTCTGGAGTACAAGGGTTTATTGCTCTCCCTGGTCTTGCCTTCCTCCACTGGAGACAATGGATCTCCCCATCCCCGCCTGGGTGCCCCTGACATGAGTGGTGTCGAGCTTGCCATGCCTACCCTGGCCATGGCCACAGCCACCCCCTCCTCCGAGGTCAAATACAACCTTGATGTGGCCCTTAATGAAATAGAGTTTGACACCCCTGATCTACAATCCCAGATATTTCATAGGGGGAACTAACTTATACTCACCCCCAAATTTCTCTTCAACAAAACTAGCACAAAGGTATTTTTTGGCTGTCTGCAAGAAAATGTGGACAAACAATAGGAAGCCATGGCTAAAAGCAGATGGTGACATCTTGGGACTACCTGCAAAAGTTGGGCCCTGGAGACATTATTTTGAAAGGTTTGCACTCCAACCCAAGCAGACACTTCCAGTTGGCAACTGTGGACAAGCTACGGTGCCCTGGATCGCTCCAGTATATAATGTTGTAGGGCTTGGTCTTTCTTATTTAATATCTGTATGAAGTTACTAGAGAGGATTGTCTGTTGGTTTGGGGTGACACTTGGCCCAAAGTGGCTTGGAAGCTTTAAACTGGAGATTCTGGAAACTATTAAGAGACTGGATGGAGAGGAGCAAGGACAGACTAGATGCAAGATAGAGGTGCTAGTTATCAGTAAATATCTTGGCTATCTGGAATCTTCTGTCTTGGTACTGGGCTGGCTGTAGATAGATCTGACTCCAAAGTTTGAAGACAAGGCCTTTGGCTTGGTCTTCCTGGAATCACAACAGGAGATGGCTCTATTTGGCAGAAGGAAGCTTGGTTCAGCTGTAGCTGGTATACCAGTTATGGCCCTGAAAGACCTGAAAGTAGTAATTAATTCCAGTAGGAATCTGAAAAAATGCCTGCCATTACTCAATTCAGCTTCCAGATCTCAATACCGTTTCTGTCAGGCCTGTTGAGAAAAATCTGGAAAAGGACTTCCTTGTGAATATTGCTTTAATCCTAATTCTCCAATTCTCTTCCTGCAGGTGAAAAACCAGTCAAGATGCTATGTAGTAAGTAATCTGTTCTTTTTGTGCCTTTTCTGCAGTAAAGTTAATGCGGTTAGATGCTCATAATCTGCCTCTGTGAGCACAGGCAAGCACTGAACTAAATCGGGAAAGATGGCCTTTTTAGCTCCAGCCAGCAGGCAAATCCTAGCAATCTTGCCTAGGCTGGACATGCTGGAAAAGGGAAAATACCGTGTTTCTCATATAATAAGGCCGGGTCTTACTTTTTTTTGAGCCCCGAAAAAATGGCTAGGCTGTCTTTTCAGGGGGTGACTTAATTCCCCCCCCGCGCCATTGCATCTTCGGGCGGGCAGGCGGCGACGGCTTGGATATTGACCTCAGCATTGGTGGGGCACTTCATATCAGGGTCAACGCAGGCAGCACCATATCCGGGTGTGCAACAAAAGTACTTCCTAACGGCAAGCCCCCCCACCATTCCCCCCCATTTTGCATTTTTTAATATAGGCCTTAATTTGGGGGGAGGGGCTTAATTTCATTTCATGCCTATAAAACATGCTGGGACTTCCTATTGGGGGAGGCCGTATTGTTGGAGAAACAGGGTAGTAAAGTCAAATATTTTTAAAAAACTCATAATTTCGGTCATGCTTTTCTTCTCAAATTGTTTTCTACAGAAATGGGGAATGCTGAAGTACTTTTTTTGTTGTCAAATGTGTTGTTTAAAATTTTTCAAATTTTTAAACCTGGCATCCAGTGTTGAATTCTTACACAGGTTGCTAAGGTTTCCGTTTTGATTTGTTTCTTCCTCCCATCATGCTTCCTTTGGAGACTGCTGCCTGGATTGTTTCTGAGTGTAATCACATGCCCGTTCCCCAGCAATCAGTGGCTTTCACTTGATGGGCTTGTTTAGACAGTAACAGAGAGAAGAATGAGGGGACATATTATGGCCATTGCGGGCTCCTAAGGAACAGTTGATAGGACTGTGTATCTAGAAAGTACCCCTGATGCAGGGCATCTAAAGATGTCCGAGTTGGGGTGCCATATTTATGTTCCTTCTGGTTCTTGAAAGGCTGGTTCTTGATTAAGGTGACCAACCCATCCTCCTATAGGGAGGACGGTCCTCCTTTTGTAAGTTCTGTCATCGATCAAATACGGAGATTTATAGATTTGTAGTGTACTCATGTACATACTTCTAATACCGCATTTCTATTGGTTAGTTAATATAGCTTAACGATTGGTTAATAACGACAGTTTCGGATTGGCCGCCTGAGCGGCGGGAAGTTTGAATAAATGCCATTGGTTGCGAGCCGCAAGCAGCCACTATAAAAAGGGCTGCCACGGCTCTACTTCAGTTGAAGTTACTGAACGCTAATAAAGAGCTGAATTCAACTCCGGTCTTCGAGTCTGCTTTGTCCTGGCGATAGAACAAGATTAGTCTTCAAATATCAAAAAGGAGGACATTAGGAGGACACTTTTCGAGAGAGGGCAGAACTTACAAAAGGAGGACTGTCCTCCCCAAAGGAGGCTGGTTGGTCACCTTACCATTGATGGAACCAGGCTTGAAACAAAAATATGGAAGTAAAGTCATTATTTTATTTGGCAATCTGTTTTCAGCTCTGGTTGACCTCAACTCTTAGAGCCTGTTTGTCGCTATCCTACCTCAGAATTACCCAGTTCAATCTTGCTTGGCTTTTTGAAATCAGCCAAGATCAAGTAAGTGCTGTCCTGTAGGTGGGACAATGACACTAATGTTGTCCTTCTTAGCAAACACTTCCTGCTTTTTCACCATCACATTCTGTTTCTTATCTTAGGCAAGATGGGCTGCAAACACCTCAGCCCCAGGGGAGAAGAGATGTATGCTCAGGGGATTGTTCAAAGAGAGGTTAGAGGGAAGGCGAGCTACTTCTGAGATGTTCCCCACAGTTAGAGAACTTTTCTGGAAAAAAATTGTCCAACTTAGATCTTCCCCATCATAGGAAAAGAATATCTGCATTTTCTTTTTAGTAATGTTCTTTTTTTCTCCATTTGTACTTTATTCACTAAAGGGATTGTCATCTGGTTTCTACTTATAATTATTGCCACTGTATTAGGTTATTACTTTGGTGAGTATGGCATCATTTTCTTGGAGGTGGGGAAATGATTGATTGGTGGGATGGTATTTCAAGAGGCCTTTCTTTTGTTTTTGTTTTTTTCTTTTTACAATCTCCCAGGACAAACTTGAGCAGTGTAATCTGCTTTAGGAATACCCTCATTTAATGTCAACATCATTTAATATTTCTGCAATCCTTTGGCTAGACTGTTTAGACCATGGGTCACCAACCTTTTGGACCTCAGGGACCACCAAACTCATAATTTTAAATCCCAAGGACCACTAACCGGTTCTGTGGTTATGCTGTCCAGACAGTTTAGAGTTAATGGGATTTGGGATAGTTAGTTAGGAATAGAGAGCTGTTCCCTTAAGGGAAAGCATCATGGTAAATGTAGTCAAGGTATCCTGGGAAATGTAGTCCATGTCATGTGGCCACATCTGTAATCCTGACTGGTCACTAGATTGACCCTTGTTGGGTTGAGGGAGGCTCCCTCACTCTTGCCTGGATCCACCATAGCATGCAGTCGCTTCAATCATCATTGGGATGAGGGTTTATTATTTTCTACAATTCAGATATGCAAAGGATTGCACATTAAGAAGAACCTTGTCATAACTGTGAGTTGACAAGATGCCTGATGAACTAATAAAAAGACTTTGTGTGGATGCTTTGTGGAGTTGCTGTCTGCTTTATGCCATCCAAGTATTAGTATGCAGAACAGTGGGCATGGCCTAAATTGTGGGTGTGGTTTGGTGGTCATGTGACTGGCTGGGCATGGCTTGTATATAAATATAAATATTTATATAAATATTGAATTTTTTATTTTAAAAAAAGAGCAACTTTTACCCAAAATCAGGCAAAGCAGGAAGACAGATTGAGTTGCTCACAGAATCACAGATTCACTCAGAGATCTATCTGTCTGCCATTGGCTAGCTCAGTCTGTGACATAAAATTTGCTTGCAACCAAACTCATAAAATTTGCTAGCAAGCAAACTCACAAAATCAACTCACAACACACCATGTATGTAAATATTGAATTTTTTATTTTAAAAAAACAGCAACTTTTACCCCAAAGCAGGCAAAGCAGGCAGGCAGATTGAGTTGCTCACAGAATCATTCAGTGATCTATCTATCTGTCATCAGCTACCTGAGTCTGTCACATAAAATTTGCTTGCTGTGAGTCTGCACTGACTAATAGAATCTTCAGTCCTAAGGGAGGTTCAGCTGTGCTTAAAAGCAGAGCCAAATATCTAAAGATTAGCTAGAAAGCAAGAAATCCAACCATTTCCTGCTTCCTAGCTAATCTAAATCCCCCGGCAAAGCAGAACACCTGATGGTCAGAAAAAGTAAAAATAGCAGTTTAGCAGGCAAGTTTGCCGGGTAAGGAGTGAGTGGGCGGAGAGGGTTCCCGCAGGCCATGCGGGCGGCACAGCCTTGTGTTTCTGTGCAGCCTGGATTAAGTGCTTTGGGGGGGTTCTCGGGGTGAGATTTCTCTGCAGCCCACCAAAATTTTCTCGTGGCCCACCAGTGGGCCGCAGCCCACTGGTTGGCGATCGCTGGTTTAGACTGTTGCCATTGCCTAAAAGATTCCTTGCCCTTTCCTTCATAGGCTTTCTTATTTTTTTCTGATTTAATTTTAGTATCCACAGATTTGCACCTTCTATACTATGTTGTGCTTGTCAGTGTCTATGCGTTGGAGTTTGCTGGATTGTTTGTGTGGAGATGTAAGTAAACCATACATACATTTTCTGGAATGTGTGCAGGGAAGGAGAGGTGGGTCTGAGGTTTTTTTTTAATGAATTTCTTCCCAAATAAGGGGGCTTTATATACTCTTTGACTTTCGGAGTGTAGTTAGGTTTCTCTACTTTTCTTTATTATTATACACAGTTTTACAGCTAGACTTACAACAGTTCATTTAGTGAGTGTTTGAAGTTACAATGGTACCAAAAAAAAGTGATTTATGACTATTTTTCACACTTACGACCATTGCAGCATCCCTATGGTCACATGATTTATATTCAGTGCTTGATGACTCATATTTATGACAGATGCAATGTCCTGAGGTCACGTGATCACCTTTTGCAATCTTGTGACAAGCAAAGTCAATGAGCAAGCCAGATTCACTTAACAAGCGTTACTAATTTAATACCTGCAGTGATTCGCTCAATAAATGTGGAAAGAAAAGTAACAAAACAGGGCAAAACTCGCTTAACAAATTTCTCACCTAACAACATAGACTTGGGGTTCAATTGTGATTGAAAGTTCAGCAACACCTGTACTCTGTTGTTATACTGAGCAGTGGTGGTGCAGTGGTTAGTTTGCAGTACTGCAGGCTGCTTCTGCTGCCTGCCGACTGCCTGCAATTTGGCAGTTTGAATCTCACCAGGCTCAAAGGTTGACTCAGCTGTCCATCCTTCCCAGGTGGGTAAAGTGGGTACCCAGACTGTTGGAGGCAATAGGCTGACTCTGGGAACCGCTTAGAGAGAGCTGCAAAGCACTGTAAAGTGGTATACAAGTCTAAATGCTATTGCTAATTGCTATTGCCACATATTTGTCATTTATAATTTATTTCATTATGAGCCTCAAGTCTGGCCCGAGATCCCAAAAACTGATGCAGATATTCCTCTGTGGAGATGCAGCTACCAGCGTACTCATAGAAAGCCCTTCTTTTAAATAACTTAATAAAGGGCTTTGATTTTAAGTTGTTTCTGATTAGTTGCCCTTAAACTTTGAATGATTTGGCTGGCTGGTTTGGGAGTTTGTTTTTCTACTTTTCTACTTTTTCTTAATTCTACGTTCAGGGGAATAAATAATTTCCTTCAACAATTTAATTTGTTGTGAAATTAAGCTGGACTTTATCTATTTCTTTATTTGATTTATATGGCTATGCATCTTCACATAAAGCAATAGAGGGCAGCCAGGACAATAAAAATATCAATTTGATAAGAAAATGAAGTGAATAAAAGCAC